GTACTCGCCAGCACATATTGCTCTCCACCAAGGATCAACATACGATCGCTTAGGGAAATCTGGGGTAAACTTTATGAGTCAAATATGCTCAGAAACTGCAACTGGAATATCTATGCACGCACTGTTTTATTATTGCCCTATTATTCATGCTAGAAATTCGACTGAATAGCTTGGCTCAATAGGTACAGTTGCATGATTAGTCAACAAGGCACATCAGCAGCAGCTTTTCAACAAAGGACGTGGACTCAGAGTTGGATCCTATTCCGAAGTCGACCAGACTCAGTCGCAACAAGCCGGGGTCCTTTTGCAGCTGGAGTCGGTGAAACTTTGCCAGAATTCGTCTCCGCGGAGTGTGCTAAGTTAGCGGAACTTATGTCCAGGATTATGCTGTGTCATATTTGTCGTCGTATTCAAATAATCATTTGTCCGCACATAATTATTTTCGATGTAAATGAAGTGTGGATATTATTAAATAAATACAGTCTATCCTTACAGTTGTCGGTGATATGCAGTAACTAGTTAGTTGGGGTTGTTTGTTCACCGTACCTACAGTACTCGTAAGTTACAGCTTCTCCGAAAAGTATAAGGCAGTCATTGTTCCGGCACGCGCTATTCAACTGCCTATTATGTTTGCGTGTAATTAAACCTACTCTTTCGCTTCATATGTAATGTTTCCCTTCATTAAGTAATAAGTAAGTTCAAAATAAAATGTCATTGAATTTTGTGACTTTGAAAATGACCAAAAAAGTTTGTTTGGTGCTTAGAGCAGACTCTGTCAACCAGTCCATCGGCATTTGGCGTGCATTTGATAAAAACATATTTCACAAAAAGCCCGTTCTGAAAAACCAGGATTGGGACAATTTTCTTGCAGTTCTGTTGCAGAGTTTGCCAACTATCCAGTGCCACTTTGTCCTTTTCCTGACCGCACTGGCTGGACAGTGGACACGCTGCCATGCCATTCACAAAATATCTGCCAGTAAGGCTTTATTGACAAATGATTAACGGAAAGGGGGTACCGGAACAATACGGCACTGCACCTGCCGCTGTTGCCGTGAGAGGAATCAGGAATGGATCAGAGAGAAGGAGAAAGAGAGGGAGAGAGAGAGAAAGAGAGAGAGAATGAGAGAGAGAAAGAGAGAGAGAGAGAAAGAGAGAGAGAGAGAGAGAGAGAGAGAGAGAGAGAGAGAGAGAGAGAGAGAGAGAGAGAGAGAGAGAGAGAGAGAGAGAGAGAGAGAGAGAGAGAGAGAGAGAGAGAGAGAGAGAGAGAGAGGTTAGACAGTGGCAAAACGAGCGTCAAGGAAAGCAACGAGAGAGGGTTAAGGATTCCTGAAATCTCCTGGGAATGCTGTAACACAACTGCGCTTCTCATCGATGGCACTCTTCACAACCCCTCTTCAGAACTCATCAATCGGTCAGAGCATGATTTAACCGTCCATTTTTTTGTCGAATTCCGTGGGGACCCGAGGTCAATTTATGCGGCGGCACTCGGAGAACCCCGCGGAGACGGTCGCTGCCAGTTCCGACCGGCCCGGCTGCCCGTCCAATTACAGCCTCGTTTGGCGAAGACAAACACGAGTCCAAACATTGGAGCCGCGCCAATACTGTTTCGGCGACTCCGAGATGCCAGCTGATCTACATATTGAGCAGAACTTTATTACTGACAATGTGACCTGTTATTTGGTGAGTTTGATGAAAGAAATTTACCGAATTAGTGGATCACTAGTGAGAATTGATCTGAAAATTGTCGGGAAGTGGCTGGTCAATACCAGTGTATAGTCATAATAAACCCGCGCCCCAGTGGCGGTCTCAGCCAACTTCGCCCTAGTGGGGGGGGGGCATATGTTACCACCCACCTCTAACTCAAATACTAAGAAGGCTAGAAAGACGCGGTAAAAAGCAGTCGATAGCGCTCAATGCGCACGTTCGAAGGTATTTCTGTCATTTTTCATCTTAGAGCAATATTGGGGTCACCAGAGGTTATCAAAGGTCAAAATTTGCCAATTGTCATGATCTTTTTCAGAAAACATGCCGTTATCCCAGGAAATATGATATAGCTAGAAAAACACATGGGAAAGCAATCGATAGCTTTTGAGCTCTTCTTTTGATAAGGTCGTCATCAAAATTGACCTCAGGTCAACGGCTTAGCCTCCAGAGGGCCAAAACTCCAAAAATAGCTGTTTTTACGAAAAATGTTTTTCGACAATACCTTTTGACTTAAAAAAGTCACGACATTTCTATTGCCAGAATCGTGTTCCTCTCGCCGAGACGCATCGAATGAACTATAATTTGACCTTGAAAGGTCAACTGGAAAATTTGACGTCAGGTCAAGGTCGTGACCTGACCGGAAAAGGTCACGTTGCATATTAGTCGATGCGTCTCAACAAGACGCATCGAACACAGTGAGGCCATCCCCAGCGTTCTATCTCTTTCCGATCGAGAGCTATTGGCAAAAATCTGTTTGTAGCCTCAAATGACCTTGGATGACCTTTCTAGAGACTATCAGCAAAAAAGACACCTTGAACGTCACGGGTGGTCCAAATAATTGTGATTCTGAAATATTTGAACTGTTCTTATGCGTACACACGGATCTAGAGGCATTTTCATTTTTCTCCATTGACTTATAATGGTAAGGTCACGCCACTGGCCTGACCTTAGGTCACGGATATAAAAAATCCGAGATATACAAATTATAGGCGCCCATAACATCGTGCAATCCACCAAGTTTAAAACCTCTCTGACAAACACTGCAGGCTGGACATGATTGCAAACTTTTTTAAGCTTGGTCAGTTAACTTGACGACCGGACCTGACATGACCTGGGGTCAAGAATTTCACACATTGTCCAAAATTGATGTACAGAAAGCTACTCCAAGCGGCGGTTTTTTATTCACACGCAAAAAAAAAACGTGACAGGGTGGTAACATATGACCCCCCCCCCCCCCCCCACTGGGGCGAAGGTTAAAAAGTAGGATCCCGATTGCAGTTAGGAAAACCCAGCTGGTCAAAGCCAGATATATAGGCACCTACATGTGAAATGGTCAGAGATTTACCAACCTGAATCAATAGCTAGCGTATTATGTGAAGTGAGGATTACGAAAAGGAAAGTGATAGGCTGTTAAAGACTTATTTGTCATTTATTTTTGAGTTCTCTAGTTCCTCTTAAGGTTTACTTAGACCATTTCATGGCCGCACATAGGATGAGAACCAAAAGACAAGACGTAGGTATTCAGTGAACCGGCCCGCCGGCTGGTCGCTGCGGCTGAGCCCGTGTCCCGTGGGGCAGGCACATCCCGGTGGGACACTGGGACACTCACTGGGACAGCCATCCAGCCGCGCAAACAGCCACTTCCTGTGCAATGTGCCTGTCAGTATCAGAGTTTTGCCAGAATATGGCGACAATGCAATGTTAAGCAACAACTTGCTCTCTTCTAGTTTCTGAATCAGCGTTCTCTCTTGCTCGCTCTCGTGGTTCGGATTATGACCATTTAAAATCGGGCCGCGTCAAGAACAAACAGCTAATTCTGTACGCGGTTCACGCGTCTGTTCCAGATTGTCCAGACCACGCTGCGGCGGCTGTGTAGGCAGCTCTGCAGACCGGGGAAGGCAGACGTCGAGCTGGCGCAGCTCTTCCCTGAGCAGCAGGTGCAGCTGCGGGGCAGCCCGGCGGCTTTAGCCCGTTTCGCTGGCGTCTGACTGGAGGTGTCTTAACTTCTGGTCAGGTGCGGGGTCGGAGTCGGCTGAAACTGAGTGGCAACATTAGCGACGGATGATGGCCCTGCTCCGATGAATTTGTAAGGTAGGGTGGGATGGGGACTGATTTGAAAGGGAAGGTATAGCAGATAGCATAGAAAGGCTCATTCTCTTCCAGTGATTCTCCCGCTTGACGAATGATTTCCACCTCAAAAATCATTGAGTGGAAACCAATAAACCCCCAAGCTGTGTCTCCGCTGCATGATAACGTATTCCATGACCATAAAATCGGCAGGGTATCCTCTGTTTTACGAGACAACCAATAACCTTAACCGCCAACAACCGATAGATTCTCTCCGGTAAATCATGACATGGAAATCCACAACCACTGGTGCATCTTTTATTCCTCTCGGCAGCATTTTTCACGCTCCGAACGTTGCCTGTTGCTCGGGATCTGACATTTTCCCTACTGTGCATCCAGATAAGCCACTACGAGTAAGCCGCCAATCTAACTATTGTAGCGACTTAGCGCAGTCATGCTCTACAATAAATGTGTGAATGAATACCCACACAACAGCACAACCATGTGTGACCTGCGTCGCCAGCGTCCGCAGGATGGTGTCGATGCCGGTGTTATAATATCGTTACTGGTGTCATTGTCAGTATCAGTGGGTGTTATTAGTGTCTGCATGGCTTTCCATTCAGTGGCGATATTAGTGTCTGCGCGGATGTCAGTATCGGTGTCAGTATCGGTGTCAGTTTCGGTGTCGGTATCGGTGTCTGTGTTTGTATCAGTGTGGGTTTCGTTCCCGGTATCAGTATTGGCATCTGTATCGGCATCGATATCGGTGTTGATCTAGATGTAAGTGTTGATATCGGTATCGGAGTCGGTATCGGTATCGGAGTCGGTATCAGTATCGGTATCGATATCGGTGTTGATATCGATGTAAGTGTTGGTATCGGTATCGGAGTCGGTATCAGTATCGGTATCGATATCGGTGTTGATATCGATGTAAGTGTTGGTATCGGTATCGGAGTCGGTATCAGTATCGGTATCGATATCGGTGTTGATATCGATGTAAGTGTTGGTATCGGTATCGGAGTCGGTATCGGTATCGGTATCAGTATCGGTATCAGTATCGGTATCAGTATCGGTGTCGGTATCGGGATTGGCATCTGTGTCAGTATATGTGTCAGTATCGGTATCAGTATCGGTATCAGTTTCAGTATCGGTATCGGTGTCAGTAACGGTGTCGGCACCGGTAACGGTGTCTGCTCCGGCGCTATGTCGGTATTCGATACCGGCACAGACGGCGGCCGGCGGGCCTGCGAGGGCCGTTTGTTTGATGGACGAGCCGGTCGGACGACGGATGGGGTGCCGATTGGAGACGACGCCAATCTCGCTCTCCTCCGATCAACTCGTCATCTGCACGCTGCGCCCCGTGAGTACAATCGCCTAATGGCCGACGGAGAGCGGTCGCTCGCCGGTCGGCAGCTGGGGCACTCAGCGGTGAGCCGCTGGCAATGTTTGCTTCTACTGCAATACACAGACCGACACGCAGCTGATGTACAGAACGGGTATGTGGAATGTGGATGTGCCTTTGGATGTGGATGTGCATCGCCACGATCTCAGTTTTGCGCAACTTATTTTGAAAACTTTCAGGTTGATTTCGAGCTGTTGTCTTACGTTGTTGACGCCTGGATGTGCGAAGACTTTCCATTCTGTAGGTATGTATGACTGGTTAATTTGAGATAAATCGATGTCCGTTTTCGGGAAAGGAAAGTTTTTTTCTGTTCTCGTAAAAGTGATCTGTGCGTCAAGCCCCGTCAGCGTCGTCTTTATATGTAAAAATCAAAACCAAAGTGATTCCCGCCGATTGACGATATTTCTGGGTTTAGGTAATCGGAGTATCGTCATGGTTCAGCTAAAAAATGGATCACGAATCCTTATCAGTAGCCCTTTCACGACGAAACATTGGCATCTATGTTGATCAATTTGGTCTCTTTTATTCCAATGAAATTTTAGAATAGATGCACAATGTTCCGTGTGAGAAAGGCTGTTGGCTCTAACTCAGTACAACCAATTTAACGGAATCCTGCCTGGGAGCAAATGTCTTTTCGAACAGTTGCTGATACCCTAACCTTCCTTTTACGTCTGTCGTGCTGGCGTGCATTCCTAGTGTTTATGCTATTCCTGGTTTTGTATGGTCTGGCAAATGTATTAAAAACGGATTTGTATCGAATAATGTATACAATTCATCAGACGCCAGGACATCTGGCTTTTCCAGATGACTTGTGGCGTGTGGATGTCGCAGTTCAGAGTGAGCTGAGACACCGAGAGGAGTCTGCTTTTTTAATTGAGCGAGGTAAGTTATTGCTGATGCTTTGAGCACTTATATTTTAGCATTTCCCCAATCCTTTTTCCACGTTATACGACCTCCAGCCATCCACCTGTTGCTCTCTTGTTTCCATCTCACCATTTCGTTTTCCCTCGCCCTCTGGTTTCCTTTCACCCTCCGTATCCCACTCACCCTCTCGGCTCCCCTCACCATTTCGTTTCCCTCTCATCCTCAGCGGTTTCCTTTCGCCCTCTCGTTTCCCTCACACTCTGTGGCCCGTTTGCCGCAGGCTGTACCCCGACTCACCATGCTGGACCTGCGTGCTCTGCTGATGGCGACTCTGCTGATGGCGCTGCTGGGCTCCGGCGCTGCCTACGATGACTTCGGCCCGGTGATGGTGTCCTCCGCGGAGAAGGCCAGCGGTGCGCTGCTGGTGGTGATCACCGGACTCCTGGCCGCCCTCCGTCTGCTGTGACCCCCGCGTGTGACCTTTGTGACCTCTGCTTGGTACGGCAGACCTGGCATTGGCTGTCCACGCGTAAGCGTAGCGCAAGTAGCTGTCGCATGATTATTCTATTTGGCATCAAGGAGGCGTGAATACAAAACAGCAATCAATTATGCTTCAGTTACTGATTTTTAGTCAATTTCTAAGTCGACTATAAATGTATGAAAGATGAAACTTAAAGGGGATCAAATGGATAGCTACGACACGAAGCTCGTATTCTGCTGATGCGTCAGCAAAAATGCCTAGAAAGATGGTCAGCAAAGGCATTTATGTCTCGGAAAAGGAGCAAGAAGCAGGCTGTGTACGGAGAGACTTCAACGCTGAAAAATGATTTGATCCAAATTTTAACATGACTGGGCAGGACCACGTGGGGCGCGGGTTAAATCTGGTCCGACCAGATTTAACCCGCGCCCCACGGGGGTCTGCGTATAACACGCCCTACTGGGGGGGGGGGGGGGGCTCTTCATAGCCCCCCTCCTAACTCCGAAACTACTGGGCCGATCGTCAAAGTTAAAACGGCGTCTGATAGCCCCGGAAAAACTGTCGAGCGGAACCTAATTTCATTGACCTCGAGGTCACCGATGACGTCACAGGTCAGATCAAAGTAAACATTATTAGCATTTTGGCTTGTTCACGTTTTGGGCTCTGGCCGCCGTCTTACAAGTCAGATCAGGCTCATTTTTGGTTCACACACTCGTGAACAGATGCTCTAGATACCCTGAGGGTACCAAACTTGTACTTTGATTTTCAGGTCAAGGTCAGGTCATCACAGGTCACGAAAATATTATATCATGCTCGGTCACGTGACACATGTTTTATGGTCCATTTAGGCTAAAGATTTCAAATTTAATGTCGTCTGTGTCATTCGAGGTCATTTTGAGTCAAATGTAGGGGAAGCGGGGGGAGCACCGCCACCTTAAGCATTTCTGCTCACCGAGCTGATAGGCGTAGTAAAAACGAAGCTCTGTTGCATTCATGTGACAGTAGGGATGTTTTCCTACATGTTGGCAAAGTTTCCAGCGCTCCATTATAAAATTTCGCTACTTTACAGACGTTGAAAACAAGTCCTGCATTTTTCGTCCTCCAAAAATGTGCGGGTAGCACCGCCACCGATGGTGGTGTTATCCACAGATCGGCCTTACGGGTGACAGCCGCCCTTGGTAGCGTTACTGCTGTCTGAAATAGTAACTCATACTCATATAAGACACACAAGAGTTGGTTGTTAGTTTGTCACAGATCAGACTGTTTGGTGCGGACAATATGCATACAAAGCCTGACAAATTCACGTTTATTTCGAAACATCCAGTGAAGTCGAACGTGAGGTTAAAAAACAGACGACGTTTGCGGCCTAACTAAAGCTCTTCTCCGAGCTGAGTGAGTCATCATTGCGGCTTTATCCATTTTGCCACCCCTTGGGGGTAGCACCGCCGAGCATGGCGGTGTTACCCCACACACAGTCATGGACCGACAACGGCCCGATGGGAAAACAAGCCGGGACGCGATTCTTCTGCAATTCCTTTCTCAACGAAGAGCACTTCATGCCTCAAATGTAACGTAAAAATCGAGGTATTTTGACTTGAAATGACCACTTACTTGGTGCTAAAACATGCCAAATGGTTACAACGATGGTTAGTAATTCACAAAATGGGCTATTGCGATATTAAAATCAAATGAATCTTAGCGAAACCTACCTCACGCGGCGCGCCGCTTCCGTTTGGACACCGAAATGGCAGGTGTTTACATTTACAATTCAGAGTTTTGCCGATAGAGGGGATTGCGGTGTTGCCCACATGGCGGTGCTACCCCCGCTTCCCCTAGCTTAGGTCAGGTCACTTTCAGGTCAAAAAAGGTCAAATTTTGAAGTTAAAATTTTTCAACAAAAAAAAAGGTGTCTATTGAATGCAGTTTGAGCTCAGGAACACGATGGTGCTATTTTTATTGGCGTACGATGTCAAATACGTGCTGAAAAAATTGATTTGAAAAATTAATAATTGTGAATTTTTTGCAATAATGCGTATAACTTGGCCATTTGTGAAGATGTTTAGCTAAAACTTGCTAGATTTAGTCATAATAACGCGTTCTATCACATATATTCCGTTTTTTTTTCGAAAAGTCAAAAAGCTTTTGAAAAAAATGTAAAAATATAAATTTTGAACTTTATAATATTAAATTTTCAAAATTTTCAAAATTTCGAAAATCCGAGATAGACGTTTGATAGCGCAGTCTATTCTGAGTCCTCTCATGCAAAGAAATTGGATCTAGCTTAAAGGGACACTCCCACCTTAACATTAGTTTTGAGTTGAGATAGCCAAATTGGTGGCCATGGCCTGCAAATACCGGTTTGGGCACTCACAACATCGACAAATGCTTTAATTCGGAGATATGGAATTTCAAACTTGCAGTTTTCGGATTCTAAGGGGCTAGTGCATTGGTATGCCCCCTTAGAATTTGTGACGTCAGCGGAGATCTAACGATTTTTAAATCTTTTACTAAAACGTTTGGTAGCACGCGGTGGTATATGCTGCTTTGCGCGCAACAAATGCCGCACTTTCAAATAAAGTCGCTAGGAACAGCGGAGATCCCAAAAAGTAAACAAAAGTAAAAGTCTAATATCTTGAAAACCGGTGAATATTTTTCGATGAAATTTGGTAGATATTCGTTTTCGCTCTTTCTGAACCGAGCGACATCACTTTCGTGCCAATTCATTAACTTTTTTGAAGGTGGGAGGGTCCCTTTAAAAACTGAGCTCTTGGGAGCGATTGCCGTGATTCAATGTTTTGCGTCGAAATCGGCCGAACATGACGTCACTCTGACGTCATTTCCGGCCGACCTATGGTAGCTAAGAAGTTCATATTTTGACACAAGGTGTCAAATTGATGCAGCCGAAGGTACTGAAAGTTTGGCATCGATACGGTTTGGAAGTTATTGCAGAAAAACGGGAGGGGGGCTATGAATAGCCCCCCCCAGGCGTGTTTCTTTTTTCCAACCAAAGGAAGGCGCTATACCCGAAGATGCTTCTTGGTAAACAAACCAAACAAAAACAAACATAACCTAACCTCACCTGACCTAACCTACAACCTACAAACCTGCATCCTACAACCTAACCTACAACCTAACCTACAGACCTACAACCTACAAACCTACAACCTACAAACCTACAACCTAACCTACAACGCGCCAAAAAGTTCGGCCGACGGCGGGGATCGAACCCTAGTTATTAGATCACGAGGCGAGTGTGCTCACCACTACACCACGCTGCCAGCTGGGCGGTGAGAGGTGTAAGTCACTTTTCAATGACGCAATGGGATATTCTCCGTATAGCGCCTTCCTTTGGGTGGTAAAAAGAATTACGCCCCCCCCCCCCCAGTGGGGCGCGGGTTTCTCGAAAGTTTTTTTTTTCTTCTTGTACAGCTGTTCTTTTTTTGTTGGTCTGGAACGAAGGAGCTAACCATAGGAGCACCATGATATGTAATTAGCGACACACCCTTATCCCTACATACCCAACTCGGACAGCGAACGGTGTCAATGGGCGTCCCAGTGGTGCCCGTATCACCCTGTGTCGGACGGCATGTGTCCTGCAGAAATAAATACACAGCTTGCGCGGCCGGCCGGCACGGCGGGCGGCAGATCGATGAAATCGTCACAGGACTGGGGAGGGGGGGGGGGGTACATCTGGGTCAGGGGTGGCACGCCGCTGAAGGTCACGGGAGGAGCAGCGATGATTGTTCCTGTCGTCGTCGATGTCGTCTTCCTTCCGAGCCTATATCGGAGGCGTACAGGGCCATATCCGCATGGTCGGCTCTGAGAGAGGGTGTGTCGGCTGCCAGCTGGCGGGCAGACGCGCGGTGGTGGGATGAGTCTGCGAGAAGACAGCGGCGACGAGGCGAGAAGACAGCGAGCAGACACGGGTAACGGAAAGATCGCCAGCGGGAGCAGACACGGGCAACGGGAAGCTAGCGAGCGGGAGCAGACACGGGCAACGAGAAGATAGCGAGCGGTCGCCATGGGGTGGCAGGGGAGATAGCGAAAGGATACTAAGTAGTGATGTAGGAAAAGGACACAGGCAAGGTGAAAGGGGAGAGATCTGGCAAGTGGAACCTGACGGCGGGATGTCTTCAGCCTGGCCTAAGTCGTCGAAATATCACAAATATAAAATATAAAATCTCTAACCCCTATCGATTGACATACCGTTATGGTTTCTCAATGTTGGTAAACTGCACTTTATTTATTCGACCTATTAGTGATATGGAAAAGCAAAAATATCCTGCATTTTTTATCGTTAACGTGTTTCTGGAAACCACCATTTTACTGAATCTGTGCAGCTCTTCTTCAATTTAAAAGATATTTAACGTATTCAAATTGGTGCATGTTTCGATGCACGATCACCCGATCAAGCGACAAAGAACATGATGTTTAGATAGCTGTAGCTTACATAAAAAACATTAGGTACAGGTTCGCTAGTGGGTGAGCAGAAGAACACAAAAGTGAGAGCGTAAGTCTCTGTTTATCAGAATCACACACCGACGGAGTTTGGATGGGATCACTCCTTCCTTGCCAGCTTGAAGTCCAGCGCCGCAGGTCATAATGCCGGGGCGCAATTTCCGTTCCATCTCCTGTGACGGACACTCACGAGCTCTAGGCTGCGGCTCGGAATTCCGCCACAAGTAGCGTCCGATGAGATCAAAGTCACGTGTCAGAGTGCCTTGCTACAGCTTCCTGCAAATGTTTTGACCTTTGGAGTGCCTGGGTTGACCTCGGTTATAAATGTTACGATAAGGCTTTGCTCGGAATGTGTTGTGGCGCACCTAGGCATGTTTTAATGCCATAAAGTGAACATGGAAAAATCTGTATTTGTAGCGTTTAGGCATTAGTCATTATCACCGTAAACATGCATAAATAACTCAATGATATTCACACGAAGTAAATGAATGAAAAGAAATGCAATCAAATTACGTGACTTTATTTGGGTATATATGTACATATGTACCTACCTATATGAGCGTTAAATTAAACTCAAGATGGGGTTCGCGTGCGCGGCGACTTTAAGTTGTGCGATGTAAAAAGCATCTGATATTGTTGTTGGTGTTCTCTCTTCTCTCTCCGAGGCAACTGCTCTTCGTGGTATTTCATTCCTCAGATCCCACTAACCCTTCACATGCATTGGCAAGCTTATTAGCTAATCCATGACAGTAATCTGGTCGTGG